TGAGGCCGCTTGGTTAAAGCATGAAGGCTTCCAGAATCTGCTTACGACATCCTGGAGCAGAGAGATGAGTACTCCAGCAGCATTGAGCGAGTTAAAGCGCAAGCTGCAGAAATAGAACAGAGAAGTTTTTGAGGATGTTCTGAGGAGGAAAGAAAGACTCTTGGCACAGATCACTGAGGTCCAAGACTTGTTGGAAAACTACCAGTCTAATGATCTACTGAATAAGGAAGTGACGCTTTGCAAGGAGCTAGACGTAGTACTCGAACATGAGGAGGTCCTTTGGTTCCAGAAATCCAGGGAGAAGTGGATAGCGTTGGGAGACCGAAACACCAAATACTATCACACCCAGAACATAGTGAGGCGAAGACGGAATAGAATCAAAATGTTGAAGGGGCATGACAATAGCTGGGTTTCAGAGCCGAGAGAATTGGAGGCCCTGGCGGTTGCTTATTACACTCGACTATACTCCATGGAGGATGTGGATCAAAGAGTGGAGAAGTTACCTGTAGAGGGATTTGTATCACTATCTAGGGAGGAGTTGAGTGATCTCCGAAAACCTTTCACGGCGGCAGAGGTGGAGATGTCGGTGAAAAGTATGGGGAAATACAAAGCTCCAGGCCCGGATGGGTTCCAACCAGTTTTCTACCAGAGCTGTTGGGATGTAGTCAGAGAATCAGTGGTACGATTTGCTCAGAACTTCTTTGACTCGGGACAACTTCCAGAAGGTACAAATGATGCATTAGTGGTCCTCATTGCGAAAGTTCAGAAGCCAGAGACGATCATGCAATTTAGACCCATCAGTTTGTGTAATGTTTTATTCAAAATAATTACCAAAACTATGGTTTTGAGATTGAAGAAGGTCATGCCTAAATTAATTGGACCGGCACAAGCGAGTTTCATCCCAGGCCGTTTAAGTACGGATAACATTGTATTGGTGCAAGAGGTGGTGCACTCGATGAAACGGAAGAAAGGAAGACAGGGATGGATGCTACTCAAGCTGGATTTGGAGAAAGCATATGATCGCATTAGATGGGATTTTCTGGAAGACACGCTGAGAGTAGCAAAGCTACCGGATGAATGGGTGGGATGGATTATGCAGAGTGTCACTGACCCTTCAATGAGCTTACTGTGGAATGGAGAAAAGTCAGAAAGCTTCAAGCCTGAACGAGGTTTAAAGCAAGGGGACCCCTTGTTCCCATACTTATTTGTCCTCTGCATAGAGAGACTATGCCATTTGATTGAAGAGTCTATCAGTTCAAAGGAATGGAAACCCATCAGGATATCGAGGGGAGGACCGGAGTTGTCACACGTATGCTTCGCGGATGATCTGATATTACTGGCGGAAGCTTCAGTGTCTCAAGTTCGCATAATAAGGAGAGTGCTAGAGAGATTCTGCCTTGCTTCAGGACAGAAAGTAAGTCTGGAGAAATCCAAGATATTTTTCTCAAATAATATCTCCCGTGAGTTGGGAAATCGAATAAGTGGAGAGAGTGACATTCTCTCAACCCGAGACTTGGGCAAATACTTAGGGATGCCGGTGCTGCAGAAGCGTATAAACAAAGATACGTTTGGGGAAGTGATGGAGCGAGTGTCCTCGAGACTAGCGGGTTGGAAAGGGAGATTACTGAGCTTCGCGGGCCGTATCACACTAACTAAAGCTGTACTATCATCCATACCGGTTCACACGATGAGCATTATTGAGCTGCTGAAAGCAACTCTGAAAAGATTAGACAGAACCTCGAGATCTTTTATTTGGGGGGACACTAGCGACCAGAGGAAGCAGCACCTTATGAGCTGGAAGAGGGTTTGTAGACCGAAAGGGGAAGGAGGCTTGGGTATCAGACAAGCGCAGGACATGAATAAAGCTTTACTATCGAAACTGAGCTGGCGTTTGTTGCAAGATAACTCAAGCTTGTGGGCTCGGGTGATTCGGAGTAAGTACAAAGTAAAGGATATACGAGAGACAGAATGGACCATAGCAAAGGGTACTTGATCCGCTCTATGGAGAAGCGTGATGACAAGTCTACGGGAGGTGGTGATACCGGGTTTGAGCTGGATCATTGGGGATGGTAAGGCAACCCTATTCTGGAAAGATAAATGGTTATTGAACTCTACTCTGCTAGAAATTGCAGAGAGCAAAGTTCCAGAGAATATAGTAAACCTGCGAGTAAGAGATCTTTGGAGGGATGGCATTGGTTGGGAACTCGAGCAGATATCTCCATATATCTCGAACCATGTCAAGTTACAGTTGTTAGCTGTAGTGGTGGATAATATTATTGGGGCAAAGGATAGAATAACGTGGGGGGGGGGGGGGGGGGGGGGGGGGGTAGCCATGATGGGAGGTTTACGGTGAAAACTGCTTACTCCTCCGTCACGAAACAGTTGACAGAAGGCACGAATATGCAGAGCCTGTTCGACAGAGTATGGCTCGTGGTAGCACCAGAGAGGGTGCGAGTGTTTATCTGGTTAGTAGTGAATCAGGTGATTATGACAAATATGGAAAGACTATGGAGGCACTTAAGTGATACTGGAATCTGTCAAACTTGCCGCGGTGGTGAAGAGTCGACTCTCCATGTCCTTAGAGACTGCCCTGCAACGGAGGGTATTTGGAATCGGCTTGTACCAGCGAGCAAACGTCGAAGGTTCTTTGAGGGAACTCTATTGGAATGGATTTATGAGAACCTAGGGGATAACTCGGTGGTGGAAGAAAGTTCTTGGGCCACAATATTTGCAGTTGTATTATGGTGGAGTTGGAAATGGAGGTGCGGGAATGTCTTTGGGACAATAAGGAAGTGTCGGGATAGAGTCAGTTTTGTTAAGGACCTGGCGAAGGAAATAACCGAAGCACACAAGAAGGTGAGAGGTAGTCGGCACCTGTCAGACACTGTGGAGAGACTGATCAAATGGATCCCGCCAAGAGAGGGTTGGTTCAAACTTAATACTGATGAGGCCTCCCATGGGAACCCGGGCTTGGCCACGGCTGGAGGGGTGTTGCGGGATAGAGAGGGGAGTTGGTGTGGAGGTTTCGCCCTAAATATAGGGATTTGCTCTGCGCCCCTAGCTGAACTATGGGGAGTATACTATGGTCTTTACATGGCTTGGGATCGACGGGTAACAAGGCTAGAGGTCGAGATTGACTCGAAGATTGTGGTGGGTTTCTTGAAGGATGGGATCAATGAATCGCACCCTTTATCCTTCCTAGTACGACTGTGCCACGGCTTTCTAACTAGAGACTGGATTGTTCGGGTTTCCCATGGATACAGAGAGGCAAATAGACTTGCAGATGGACTTGCAAATTATGCTTTTAATCTTCCGCTAGGTATTGCTGTGTTAGAAGTACCACCTGAGGAAGTTGGTTCGATTGTTTTAGAGGATGTATCAGGAGTGACGGGAGGTTTACGGTGAAAACTGCTTACTCCTCCCTCACGAAACAGTTGACAGAAGGCACGAATATGCAAAGCCTGTTCGACAGAGTATGGCTCGTGGTAGCACCAGAGAGGGTGCGAGTGTTTATCTGGTTAGTAGTGAATCAGGTGATTATGACAAATATGGAAAGACTACGGAGGCACTTAAGTGATACTGGAATCTGTCAAACTTGCCGCGGTGGTGAAGAGTCGACTCTCCATGTCCTTAGAGACTGCCCTGCAACGGAGGGTATTTGGAATCGGCTTGTACCAGCGAGCAAACGTCGGAGGTTCTTTGAGGGAACTCTATTGGAATGGATTTATGAGAACCTAGGGGATAACTCGGTGGTGGAAGAAAGTTCTTGGACCACAATATTTGCAGTTGTATTATGGTGGAGTTGGAAATGGAGGTGCGGGAACGTCTTTGGGATAATAAGGAAGTGTCGGGATAGAGTCAGTTTTGTTAAGGACCTGGCGAAGGAAATAACCGAAGCACACAAGAAGGTGAGAGGTAGTCGGCACCTGTCAGACACTGTGGAGAGACTGATCAAATGGATCCCGCCAAGAGAGGGTTGGTTCAAACTTAATACTGATGAGGCCTCCCATAGGAACCCGGGCTTGGCCACGGCTGGAGGGGTGTTGCGGGATAGAGAGGGGAGTTGGTGTGGAGGTTTCGCCTTAAATATAGGGATTTGCTCTGCGCCCCTAGCTGAACTATGGGGAGTATACTATGGTCTTTACATGGCTTGGGATCGACGGGTAACAAGGCTAGAGGTCGAGATTGACTCGAAGATTGTGGTGGGTTTCTTGAAGGATGGGATCAATGAATCGCACCCTTTGTCCTTCCTAGTACGACTGTGCCACGGCTTTCTAACTAGAGACTGGATTGTTCGGGTTTCCCATGGATACAGAGAGGCGAATAGACTTGCAGATGGACTTGCAAATTATGCTTTTAATCTTCCGCTAGGTATTGCTGTGTTGGAAGTACCACCTGAGGAAGTTGGTTCGATTGTTTTAGAGGATGTATCAAGAGTGACGAGAGCACGTATGATGCGTTTGTAATACCTTCTTTGCAGCTTTGAATAATTAGGAGGAGACTTAAGTCTCCTTCACATGACCAAAAAAAAAAAAAAATTAATATGATATAGTACGTGTTATGATTTCCACATAGTCTAATTTTTCTAAAACAAGTAAAGTACAACTATTAAATGGGGAGCTAAATTATAGGATTTTTTTTCTTAAGATTTGATTTTTTTCCTTCCTATCAATAGTTGAACATGTCTTGGAATGCATCCAATTGAATGTTTGATATTTCTTTCTTGATAAAAACTTCTATAACATTGTTGACTTTTATACAAGAAAATCAATATATATGGGTAACATAATTAATATTTTTGACCTATTTTACACTAAAACTTATTAGCTTGTGAGCATATAAAGACATGTAACTTCACAAGAATTGCAACACAATAAAAAAACAAGTTTAAGGTTCTGAGATCAAAAGGTTGGTTCTTTGGATTTGGAAGCTTGGTTAAGATAAATTAGAAAATAGTCTCTAGTTCGGGTTTTGGGATTTTAGATTTTCCAGTGTTAGACATGAAGGGCAATGGAGGTTCATCAAGTTCACTATCATCTTTCATCATGACAACATATAAAATGGTGGATCGTCCTTCAACGGATTCAATAATCTCATGGAGCCAGAGCGGCAAGAGTTTCATCATTTGGAATCCGGAAGAGTTTTACGGAGATCTCCTTGGAAGATTTTACAAGACCAACGATGTAGATTTATTCTTCTATAAACTCAAGACACATGTAAGCTTCTTCTTAATTTATATGTTAGTTTTCAAGAAGTCGTCGTTAGATAGTTTTTTGTTTACTATAAACTTTGAATCTTCTTCTTCTTTTTTTTTGTAGGGTTTTAGAAAAATCGACTCTGGGAAATGGGAATTCGCACATGATAATTTTGTGCGAGGTCAACCTCGCCTCATGGAGAACATTTTAAGGTGCATGAAAGAGATGAGGGATCAGGCATATCAAATGTGCGTTATGACAAAGGCGCAACGTTTATTTAGGCTGGAAGTAGAAGAAGTAGAGTATCAATGGCTAGAACATAGAGGCGCTAAAGTTGTAGGGATAGATGAACATGACATAAGTTTAGAATTCTCACCATTTTTGTTCGCCACCAAAGCATATGAGATTGTGGATGATCCTTCATCGGACGCAATTATCTCGTGGAGCAAGAGCGGCAAGAGTTTCATCATTTGGAATCCGCAAGAGTTTTACAGAGATTTTCTTCTCAAATTATTCAAGTGTAGTGACCATATAAGTATACTCTTCGACCTACTTGAGAGATGTGTAAGTTTCTGATACGTTTGTTTTGCAAGATGTCATCATATTCTCTGGTTATGTTTTTTTGCAACTTTTAATATTCTTTATATGTATATATTAGGGCTTTAAAAAAATTGACGCAGAGAAATGGGAATTCGCAAATGACAGTTTTGTCCAGGGTCAACCTCACCTTGTTGAAAACATTAAAAGGGATACTTGGGTAAATGTAGATCAAATATCAAAAGATTCGGAAAGGCAAGCGGAAATGATGGACGCGAAAGTTTTATTTAAGCTGCAAGTAAAGGATGAAGCTAGGTTTGAAGGGATGAGTTTGGATCACATTCAATCTTCTTTCCTCACCACAACATATAACATGGTTGATGATCCTTCATTGGATTCAATGATTTCCTGGAGCCAGAATAATAATAGTTTCATCATTTGGAACATGTCCGAGTTTTACAGATACTTGCTTCGTCAGAGACTCGTCGCGTCAAAAAGTTGCTTCGTCTCTCGACTTGAGTTTTATGTAAGTTGCATGTACGTTAGTCTTGTAAGGTGTTATTAGCTCATGCATATTCCACTAGATAAGTTTTTTTTGTTATTCTTTTTTTTTGTAGGGTTTCAAGAAAATCGACCCCGAGAGATGGGAATTCGCAAATGAGAATTTTGTACGAGATCAACCTCACCTTATGGTGAATATTGGACGGTATATTACAGAGAAGAAGGATAAGCTGTATAAGAGAATTGATATGAGAAAGAAAATGAGAGACGAGGCGAAAAAGAAATTGAGGGACGAGGCGAAAAAGAAAATGAAGGAGGCGACGCAAGTAAAGGAACTTGAGGTTCGACGACTAGAACATTTTGAACGCTGCAGATTATGATTTTGTTCGAGGCCAATCTCATTTTATGAACAAATTTTCTAGCTTTTCATTACCATAAGGTCTTGCTTTTCATTACCATTCAACTTCTAGCTAAGTCATTGGGGAGATTATTGTGTAAACATAAACAAAAACACAAAATAACAATCAGTAATATTTTGTTAAACAAAACTCGGCGAGTTGGATTATTTTTGCTCAATGGGTTGGTGGAATCTGTCTCATACAGATAAAAAACCAAAACCAAAAAAGCAACAAAACTGAAACCAAAAAGCAAATCACAAATCAAATTCCATGAACAAAAGCATCAATGTCAGGCTGAGGAATGTCATCAAGCAATGAGTCAATGCTACATCCTTCCTCAAGCAGCTTCTCATTGAATCCAAAATCATCAGTAAACACACATTCAGGCACAATCCTGTCTCGTCCGTAAATCTCCTCTTCCTTATTCTTCTTCTTCTCCTCAACCGCCTCAACATCCTTCTTCTTGTTACTCTCTCTGCGTCTGCCTCTTGCAGGAACAGAGGAAGACGACAAAACTCCCAAATCCAAGCTCTTTATGTAGTCCTGCAACAGAGAAGGTCTTGGATACTTAGATCTACACTTTCTCTTTGAGAACTGTCTCCGTTTTGTCGCGTTCCAATGGTTCTTGATCGAGTTCTCTGTTCTTCCAGGAAGTCTTTTCGCAATCTCTGCCCATTTGTTTCCAATCTCTTTGTGAAATTCTATCAAAACCCTGTCTTCTTCTTCACTCCATGTTTCTTTCTGAAACAATATATTGATAATATCTCAAAATGATTTAATCTTTATATGAAGATTAGTTACTAGGTAATTAATACCTTAATGTCAGGTCTCAAATGGTTATGCCATCTCTCTCTACATTGCTTCCCGATCCTTCCCGGTAACACTTGCGCGATATGCGACCATTTCCTCAATCCATATTTCTCCACAAGTTGAATCAAGATCCTAATATCAAAAACATTATGATTTTGACACATAAAATTCTATGGAATTATTCTAGGAGTTTCTAAATTAAAGAGACTCTATAATTGTCATAAATCTAGCTTGATTATGATATATTGATCTTTAGCTTTATGTTAATAACAAACCTGTCTTCTTCAGCAGTCCATTGTCCTTTGACTAAGGTTGATTTTTTCTTTCCTTTCCATGATGAAGACGATGACGATGAAGACAACTTTCTTGTCAGAAAAGGTTTGGTCTGGTTGAAACTCAATGATTTATAACAATCATTATCTGCAGAAACACATGAAACTTCATCTGGCATCACAAAGTTCATAGGCTTGATGGTCTCTGTAGGAGGGTAATCAAAAGGGATCATCCTGCTCATCATCATCATGTTGTTTTGTTCCATGTCCATGGGATCATGCTCATCGACCAAATGAATCTCTTGATGAAGATGATGATGATGATTACGGGTGAAGTATGGATTTTCTGTAGCTTGGAAATGATGATTCATCAAATGTGGCTTAGATTCATAAAAGTCCACCACGTTTTCTTGGTAAGAGTAATGCTCGAAAGGAGCATTATTGATACAAGACGACATCGTTTGCATACCCATCAAAGGATTTGAAGATGCAGAGCCATGATGATGATCATCAAATTGATGATCATGATCAAGATGGTGAAAATCTTGAAGAAAGCTTGTGGGTTTTGACTGGTCGACGACTTCGAATGGAAAATCTTCTTCTTTCATCTGTTCTTGTGTGAAGATGGTTTGGTTTAGAGGAACAAAACTACTCTCGTCTACGAAATTCTCCATTTTCTTGGAAAGAAGAAGAAAAAAACTAATTAATTAGTAAAAAAAAAAAAAGAGTGAAATCGTTTTGCGTTTTTGTGTTTGCTTTGTTCTTTCTCGTATTTGTAAGGTATGAGAAGAAAGAAAGACATTTAATGTGTGTTTTTACTATACCCATTAATTTGTTACTAAAATTCTAACGTTTGGAGTTTGTTAGGAGCATTAGTTTCATTTTATTTAATCAATTACTTCTCGAAATGCTTAGCCATTTTGGTGTTTAAAATAAAAAATAAAACCATTTCTCAACACGGATGTAAGGAAAACATAAGTAAATTAATTTCAAAGTTTAGACTTAGTTACAGTACTGAGAAAGAAAGAAAAAGATCATCTTTAGATTTTTAGAAAAATTACTAAACATATTACTAAATACATATATATGTAGTTCAAGTTAGTTGTTTCCTTTAAAAAATGTTTAAGCTGTATAGTATTTTATGTAAATTTAATTAGACTGAAAATCAATTTAAGAAAATGTGAGATAATAGTCTTTGTCGACGTTACACATTGGGTGTTGTTTAATTTGGGGTAAACATAGTTGAATGTGTGTGAAAACGCTAGTAGGAATTAATGTAGCTTTTAATGTGTTAATAAATTTATTGTAAATATATTTAGTTGTGTTTAAATAAATTTCTCACAAAAATGTGTTAATTGAGTCAACCAAAAAAAAAGAAATAATAACTATTTTCATGCTAAGGAGTGTTTTGACCATTTAGCTCTACGGTCTTAATTAAAGGATTCAAGAAAATAAATATCTTCGTTTCACCTAAAACAAAAGTAGTATTTTATAGACGGATCGTAATTTCTTAGAAAAGTTTGTATTAATCCTTTCGTTTGATATAAATTTAATTCATGGGATTGGAACTTAAAACATGGGTCTCATGGGACCAAAAACCTAGACCACGTTGTTGCTTCAGGCGCAAGTTATGTATTGCTACTTCTGTCTCGCACGAGAACCACGTATGCCTGAACCGGCTGGGAATATAAATGTGTTGATACATTAAAAGCATAGCTTATATCAAAGCTTATGTGCAATTAGATTCTGTTGAGAAGAAACGCTCTAATGTCTCTATACTTGACTACTTTAGATCACAAATGTTTTGATTTAAATGTTTTAATTGAAACTCATTATTGTTTTTATATTCATACATTTTTTTTGGGTTAAAATTTTAAGAAATAAACAACATTCGCTTTGTTGGTTTAAAATCGTGCGAGAACACATCAACCCCACCATTAAACTATTAGGCTATGACGTTTGGTCTATTCAATAAATTATAAATTTACCTTCTAACAATTTTCATAGTCATGTACTCTAAAATATCACAAAAATAAAATTTAGTTCCAAATATCCCCTACTTTTGAAAGTACTATAAATGCCACAAATCTAAGATTTGAAGTTGTCCTAAAAAGTTAAGGGGGAAGCAACAAATTTATGCATGAACTTCGGCCAATCGTGAACATATGTGCATAAACTAATGAGTTGTGCAACTTCTTATAAAAACTAAACTAACAAAGCTAAAACTTACATGGACTACTTAGTTACAAATTGCTTAAATCAGCATGAACCGAAACACCAATGTTCAATCCGTTAACACTGGTAATTGGTTGCCACGTTATAAAATGACATAATGCAAACGACATTGATTTGAACATTTCATTGACATAAAACTAAACGAGAGTAAAACGATGTCATTGATGTGTATGATGTTTTACAGTTCTTCTAGTTATCCTACTTCTCGTCCCTAACGTCCAACGGTAGCCGTAGTTTATGCATTAATTGGTTGTTTACCCAACAAATTTAGTAAAGGTTACTAAATTAGGACTCGTTTTAAAGAATCCTTCCGAAACATTTTTAAAAATATTCCTAAATTTGAGTTCTGTACCAAAACTTTTTCATGAACTTTATTTATTCTTTTTCATGAACTTTATTTATTCATGTATGGGAGTTACAAAAAAAATAAAAAGATGACTCCTATGATATTCTTCTTGTCCCCACTCAATGCATAAGGACTGGACTCATGCTAATATCGATGAACTTTCTTTTACAAAAGTAATACTATCAGTAGACTTAAATTACACGATCCCAATCTTGCTAATGAATCATCCATCTAGTGAAATGTCATTTGGTAACGGATATATTCTTTTCTTTTGTTAGAGCTTGAATGGTTTACAATGAAACAGAGAAAATGTAAAGCAAGAAAAATAAATATGGGTAGTACAAGTCGATAAATGGATTTTAAAAGTTTATTACACACCATCATATTATTAAATAAAAATAAAAAAAAATTGAAATACTTTCATTTGATAAACCCAGTTTGTACGACAAATCTGCAGTTGTACAAACCGCACATTCCATTACTTTTTCTTCCTCTCTTATTCTTTTGAGTTTTGATGTACCAAAAAACAATCTTTTGTTTTTTCAGATTCCTTATTACATTCGTCAAAAAACAAAACTGATGAAAAATAATAGAGGAAGGTCAAATACGTAATTAAACCAAAGTAGAAGACTAAATTATACAAGTCCCAACTGTCACACGACCCATCTTTGAAAAACCCAATCTTTCTCTTCTTCTTCTTCTTCTTTCTATCGTTTACTTTCTGACACTTCCTTCTCTCTCTCTCTCTCTTCACCATGAAACCTCCGTCACCGTCATTACCGTTACTCCTTCTCCTCCTCCTCTCAGCCACTATCTCCGCCGCTCCTTCCCTCTCTCCGACTCCTTCTCCGACCATCTCTCCCGTTCCTCGCACCTCTCCCACTCCACGCTCCTCTCCCATTCCTCGCACCTCCTCTTCCCCATTAGACCCAAAACAGCTCAAAGCCCTCGAATCTCTCAACATCCCCACCGCCAAAAATCCCTGCAACCACCTTCCCTCCTCCAAATCATCCTCCACCGCCGTCGTAACCTGCGACGCCGGCTCCCCATTCCGCCTCGTCACCTCCATCTCCTTCGCGAATTGCTCCTCCGATCTCTCAATCTCCTCCACAGCTCTCAGAGCCCTCTCCCCATCTCTCACCTCTCTCTCTTTCCTTAACTGCCCTTCCCTCTCCCCTCCGCCTCGTCTCCCTGAGTCACTCCACTCCTTCTCCGCCGTCTCTTCCTTCCTCCGCCAACGCAACGGCCTCTCCGGAGTCTTCCTCGCTCGTCTCGTTAACCTCACCGACCTCACCGTCTCCTCCGTCCCCGTCTCCACCTCCGGTCTCTACGTCATCCTGGGAAATATGCACAAGGTCGTCTCCCTCACCATCTCTCATGCGAATCTCTCCGGAAGCATCCCCAAATCTTTCCACTCGAATCTCACATTCATCGATTTATCGGATAATTTGATCAAAGGCTCAATACCCACTTCGATTACTCTACTCTCCAACCTCAAATCCCTGAACTTGTCCAAAAACTCGATCTCCGGAGAGATCCCCGACGGAATCGGCGACCTGATTTCGCTCAAAAACCTCTCTTTAGCTTCAAACAAGCTCTCAGGTCCGATTCCCGATTCGATCTCCTCGATTCCAGAGCTTACACATTTAGATCTGAGCGGAAACCAGCTAAACGGCACCGTTCCCAGATTCATCTCCAAGATGAAGAACCTCAAGCACTTGAATCTCGCTAACAACGACTTCCATGGAGTACTTCCTTTCAATGCGAGCTTCCTCAAGAAGCTCGAAGTGTTCAAAGTCGGCGGAAACAGTGACCTCTGTTACAACCACACTGTTCTGTCGAAGAAGCTGAAATTGGGCATTGCTCCGTGCGATAAACACGGTTTGCCTCTGTCTCCGCCGCCGCAGAAGGAAGATTCGAGTTCCGATTACGATTACGACAATGCGGATGATACTAGTGAGAAGAAGAAGGAAGAGCACCATGGTCCTAATAAGGTTGTGCTCGGTGTTGCCATTGGACTTTCTGCGCTTGTGTTCTTAATCATCTTCATGATCCTTCTCGCCAAATGGTGTAGTTGATTCAAACAAAAATAGTAACATTTGTTCTTCTCATTCGTTAGTGAATACAGAAAAGCACTCTAAACTTTGAGACTGTGTGATTAGGGTTCTTACAAGAGGAGGATAGTGATTTTTTTGGAGATTAACCGAACCGGTTCTCCAGAAAAATCCCGGTTTAGTCTTCTTTAATTTTTTTTTGCCATTTTACTTTGATTTCACATTTGGGTGGGTATTATTATTACACTATTATTATTCTTTCCTATTAGTCTTTGGTTTCTTTTCAGATTTTGTTGTAATTTGGAGTGTACTGTATGTGTTAAAGGATTATTTTGTAATAATTATTGAATTATTCTTATCAATTATTTCTTCAACAAACGCTTGCTCCTGATTAGTTGTGTAACTTGAGTTTGTACATAATACTGCACATGCGGTTGAACATGGTTTAGTTGATCAAAACAAAAATTGAACATGTCGTTGGTTCTTACCAAACTATCAAATGATTGGAAAAATATAAAAGGAAAGTCAATGAAAAAACATGGTTATGTTTCCATTTGAAGCAATGATACCATCATGAAGAAATATAACTCAACAAAGATCCAGCCTGTTCATGTTCTATTGCCTCAATTTCAATGATTTCATCAAGACCGGTCCAACCGTGAACCGGGATGGTAATACATGCATGAAAACAGCTCAATTCTCACCAGAAACCTCTGCAAGAACAGTGTCCATCTTTAAAATGGTGAAACCTGTTTGCATCTCTTAGGACAATCTCTCTTCTGCTCAGCTTAGACATGAACTTGGCCATTTCATGACAGTCTCCACACACTCTTAGATTCTTAGCAACCCTTATGATCTTTCCATGTCCAGAGCTGATAATCCCCAACGCCATTGCTAACTTCTCACTGTGACCACACAAAGCTTCTTCCTTTTCCATCTCTTCCGCATCGATCAACGCGTATTTAGTCAGCGGCGAGTACCCTTCTTCTCTCATTCTAGCTCTTACCTTCCTCAGCAAAGCTTCAATGTTTTCAGTTTCCGGGTGTGAACTATCTCCAGCTACAAAGATGTTAACTTTGCCCTTAATCTCTATCCAGCTACATCCCGGATTCTTCGTCAATCCGCGTTGCCCTATCCTCTTCCTTAGCCTTTTCACTTCTTCCCATTTCTCAGCTTCTGCGTAGATATTCGCCATGAGCACGTAGTACCCTGTGTTCTCTGGTTCAAGCTCAAAGACACTCTCTGCGACTTTCTCAGCTAGCTTAACATCATGATGTATCCTGCATCCGCACAGCAACGCTCCCCAGATTGTAGCATCTGGCGGAATCGGCATGTTCTCGATGAACCGATAAGCTCTTGACAAGTTTCCGGTTCTTGCAAGCATGTCGACTATACAAGCGTAATGTTCCAGCGTGGGCTCGATCTTGCATTCGTATCTCATGATGTTAAAGAATCTCCATCCTTCGTCCACTAGCCCTGAGTGGCTACAAGCGTAGAGCACCGAGACGAAAGAGATCCCATCAGGCTCGATACCGGCTTCTCTCATTCGGTTGAACAGAGCGATTGATTCGGCTCCAATCCCATGCATCCCGTATCCAGCTATCATCACAGTCCAAGACACAAGATCCTTGGAAGCAATCTCATCAAAGAGCAAACGCGCGAGCAACAACGCTCCACATTTCGCGTACATGTCTACAAGCGAGTTAGCAACATGCCGATCTGCGAACTTGCTGTTTCTCATGATGTAACCGTGAATCTCTCTGCCTTTGTCGAAAGCGGAGAGACTTGCACAAGCCGGAAGAACACAGGTCACGGTTCTCTCATCGGCAACAAACTTCTTTTCTTCCAGCAGCAAATTGAACATGCTTAAAGCTTCATTAGCGTAACAGTTCTTCGAGTACCCGCCAATAATGGTGTTCCACGAGATGATATCTCTCACAGGCATCTCATAGAACACTAACTCCGCTTCTCTCATGCTTCCACATTTCGCATACATATCCATCAGAGCATTAGACAGAAAGATATCAAATCCCATATCGTTCTCCTTTATCCACTCATGGACTCGCTTACCTTCCTCTAATAACCTATTACGTGCACAACACTTCAGAACCGCAGTGACGGTATGAGCATCGGGGCTAATACCTTCTCCCTCCATCTCTGTAAACAGCTTCACAGCTTCTCCAGCCAAACCTTCTCTAGCGTAACCAGCGATCATGGAAGTGTATGACACAACAGTCCGATCACTCATCTCCGTAAACACAGCTTTAGCAGAGTCTAGATCGCCGCATTTCGAATACATATCAAGCAGTTTATTACAAAACCGGTCCTCTCTACTCAAACAAGCTTTCAGCCCAAGACCATGGACAGCTCTACCTAAGGAGATAAACCCTGAATCAGCACAGCCTGCGAAAACGCTAACTACAGTAGCCAAATCGATGTCGATTCCTGAAACCAACATCCTCACGAAAAATGATAGACCTTGTTCAGCTAACCCGTTTGATACATACCCATTAATTATTGAATTCCAAGATACGACATCTCGTTCAGTCATTTCGTCGAACACTTTCCGTGCGCTTTCGACTCTCTGGATCTTCAAATAGAATGCCACCAGAGAATTCGCCACTGAGCTACAGTCTCCAAAACCAGATTTTAGAACATACCCATGAAGCTGTTCTCCTCCGTCAACACTTTTCAAAGCCGAGAAGCTCTTGGAAATGCAGGAGAAAGTATATCGATCCATCTCTACACCCGATCTCAGCATTTTCTTGAACAGTCTAAAGCTGCCACTAAAATCGCCAGATTTTCCGAGCTCGTTCATCAAGATATTCCAGAACAAAGGTTTCTCGATCCTGACCTGATCGAAAACTCGACTCGCTTCTCTCAAATCACCACAGTTTGTATACATAAGCGCGAGTTTCGACCCCAAAATCGAATCTAAGACGAACCCGTTGCTACGGATAAAGGAATCAACTTCTTTACCGTCCTTGAGAGATCTCGTATCCGCACAGAGCTGAAGAACAGAGCATAGCGTTCTCCGATCAATATCCCACTTCCCAGATACGCGAAGAAGTTTCACGGCGCTCTCCAGGTTCCCCGCTTCGCAGAATCTCCGTAATCGAGTATTCGCATCCGTTAAGCTTCGATCAAATGTTGAGATCGAATCCGCATAATCTCTTCTGTCTTCGACAGGCGGCACCGTTCTCAGAGAAGCTTTATTGGAAATCACATCTCTTCGAACTCTAACGTCGCTTCCGATTTCCTTCTGAGATTGAGAGCGGCGAGGGGGAAACAAACAGACGCTTGAGGAAGACAAATTCGCCACTAACATCGCCATCTCTATCTCCCTATGCTCGAAAGCGCGGGAAAACTGACCAGAGACTTCGGTAAGAAACTGATAGTGGTTTCTCTTCAGTAAAAAATTGTTTCCGCGGATAAAGTTTCGGTGCAAAAGGCAAATTGCCCACTAGAGAGAGAGAGCGATGTTCCAAAAACTTCAAATTCTAGCCACAAGTTTCTGCAGGGCTGTAACTGGACCCGACATATAAAGGTAGCGTTTTTGGGGGATTTTGTTTTTTGTTTTTTTGTCGTTAAGGCCAAATTGAGAATTTAGATGGGATTACAATTTACTCCATCGTTTGATTAGAAAAATATCTCAGCTTCTCTGAGGAAGTCAGGATTTAAAGCTATGGACATGGCTCTTCATTTTCCTTGTGTGTACTCGTCGATCAAACAAGGATTCACGAGAGCCAATCATCTTCATGTTCGAGGTAATCGCTATCTTTGAGAGCCGATCATCTTCATGTTCGAGGACATTAGAAGCTGCGGAAGTGCAAGAACCCATTTTTTATTTCTGTGCAGCTTTAACTGAATTTGGACAGATTGCAGGTTCCCCTCCACCAAGGTTTGGTTATAGTCTTTCAAGAACAGCATCTAATGGCGATAGAAGAAGCTGGCCTCGAGAGGAAGCTTCTTCAATGAAAGGGTCTGTTTGTTGCCAGAAACGGTCTGATGAACGGAGCTCAAGTCCGAGCACATCAAAGCAAAAAGAGATCATTTCGCTCTTCAGACGGATTCAATCTTCTATCTCCAAAGGAGAGTCTCGGGGAGCTGAAGAGAAGAACAGCGACAAGTCTTCTGAGAGAGAGTCGCTGAGCAACGCAATTCTTGACGTTCTTGAGAAACCAAGAACGAAAACTGAGGGTAATCGACGATCCTGTGTCTGAATCCGAGATCCATGTTCTTGCAATTAGTTAATAAAATAATCAAACTGTAGGAGATACTGGCGTGACGACGGAGTCATCAAAGAGACAAGGAAACGTAGCTAAGCCAGTCTCTAGTTTTGCTAAGAGATCTCCTACTAGGCCTTCTACTACAGGTCCAACAGGTAAGCTTCCAACAACAAAGAGCGATAAAGCTTTGGAAGAAACAGAGAAGGAAGAAAAGCCCCCATTGATAGAAACTATGAAACTTGCAGAGCTCAAAGAAGTTGCAAAGAACAGAGGAATCAAAGGTTACTCAAGGTTGAAGAAGAATGAGATCCTGGAGCTACTAAGATCATCCTAATTTTAATTTTCAGTGAGCATTACAGAAATAAACATGGCTTGGACCACTGAGTTGTTTTAAAGTAGATAAAAATTGAAATTTGAGAACGATTAAACTCCAAAAATTGTTCATTTATCGATTGGTACTTAAGCATTCTAAACCAACTGAAGTCAAAAAGATCACCACAAGAAGAAATCCTCATCATCCAGAATCTTAAAATATAAGAACTTAAAAAAAGAGCCAACACCACAAAACAAAATGAAGATTAAAAAAAAACTTCTCAACCGGTGATGTTCTGAGACTTGTTGAGGATAACACCTTCGTACTTAACTTGGAACCACTTCATGGCATCATCCTTTGTAACTCTGTGTTGAATCCCAACGCGAGCCTTGCATCTACGGCGACGAGCAACACGGTATCCTGGACGTTCAAGAACAACATAGAAGTCCATTCCATAGATACCAGTAGAAGGATCGTACCTAATTAAACGAAAAATGCACAATCATGAGTAAACATTCCTCTGTTTCAAGGAACTCACACAATCAAATTTGTTTACACACACTTACTTGATTCCAAGATCGATGTGCTCCTGGATACCGAATCCGAAGCAGCCAGTGTCGCTGAAGTTCCTCCTCAACAGCTCGTATTCCTTCACTTTCAAGCCACTCTCAAGAAGCTGCATTGCCTTGTCGCCTCTCACGGTGACGTAGCAAGCAATCTTTTCGTTACGCCTGATCCCGAAAGACCTCACAGTGTACCTCGCTGTTTTCCAAAACAGGATATTTCAATCAAGACCACACATCTCAATACATAACATATAAGAGATTCTGTCTGAATATATGTTCACATACCCTTGGAGAAGACAGGGGTTTGGCCACTGAGCTGTTCCAGCACCTACAATTACCAAAACCAGAGATTCATATTGAGAAAACAAACTAAATAAGGATGAACCTAACAATTGCAATTCCTCAGTGCATCTATGAACTAAACCCATTTTCAATGATGTTAAAAAGTAAAGTCTTTATTTTATTTTTCCACAGTTCGCAACTTTCGGGAAACAAGTAACGAACCTTGGAGGCACGAGTGAGACGATCACCACTCTCACCAACAGAGATGTTGAGTACGAGCTTCTGAACCTTAATATCCCTCATAGGGTTCGAGAGCTTCTTCTCTGACGCCTACATCACGTGAAACAGAAAATATAAATCACAAAAAAAAAAAAACAAAATGTTGGCAATGAAACATAACCAAGAAGCAATCTACAGGTTAAGCAAAACTGAGAAAGGTACCATCTCAGGATGAAGGGATTCAAAATCGAAGGAGATGAGCAAAAAAAGAGTGGCAGACAGACAGCGTCGGCTGCGAATTGTGATAGTTATATGGAAGTCATTAGGGTTTCTTCTTGGAGATAGAGGTTATGACGAAAGTACCCCGCTTAGGTCAAAAACATTTAAAAATTTTAACTCCGTTGCCGGGATTCGAACCCGGGTCTCACGGGTGAGAGCCGAGTATCCTAACCAGCTAGACTACAACGGAATTGATGTCTACTAATGCCGTTTTATCTAACTAAACAAATATACTTAGCTTAATTGATAATATACGAGTTTTGTTCTCTTTTTTCTTGGCTAACTATATTGGTGATACTGTTACACATCAATACATCATAGCTTAGATAGTGAAGAGAATTATGCAGAAATACATCAAAAAGTCTTCGGATTTGCCTTTGTGAGAAAGAGAGTGATATAAGAAACATTTCATAAAATTTGGTAATACTGTAACAACAAAATAGAAGAAGATAAACATTTCAAAAGGAGAAAAAAGAAAACCAAAGCAACCCCTTAAACTGCAGAAACTCGAGCCTTTCCTCTTCTGGTAGACCGATTGTATCGCTTTGACTTTAGATTCTTCACCTTCTGCTCAAACTTTACTATATAAAAAAATCTCTGACTAAACTCATTTACAGATGCAGAAAGAAAGAAGCAAAGAGGAGAGACTCTGTTTTTTTTTTTACCAAACTTAAAAAGGGAGAAAGAAGGAAGATACAACTGAAAAGCTTTTTTTTTTTCTTGCAGATTTGGGGAAGTCGGTTGTAGAAGCCTGGCTTTTGACCATCAAACTTGTCTCTGGGGAACGAGTTTGAGGAGGAAAAAAACTTCGAATTGTGTCCTCCAAACTCTCTTCAACTACCTTTCTGGCCCGAGTAATGGTACATTATATATATAAAAAGGTTCTTGTCTTCTTGATCTTTTTTATGTTCCGGATTGATTCAAGAAACTTAGACCCAACTGTCTCTTGATATGGTCTGGGATCAACTTGTTGACGAGCTCCGGTGATGCTCCAGCTACTTCTTGTTTGAAGTTGAAGAGAGGCGGGAAAGGCCGTCCGTTTGGCAAACGTGCATTTGGTTCTCTGAGCTCATCGAAGAACGGATGCGCACAAGCTTCGAGCTGAGATTCGCAGAACAAAAAAAAAACACATTTTAGCATTTTCAGTTAGATTCTTAGAGAAAGAGGAGGTTTCAAGAGGCAATGCATACCGCTGTGCATCTAAGACTTGGAGAGTATTGAAGCAGCCTGGAGGCAAAGTCGATCGCTTCTGGAGGCATCCGTTTGTGGAAAATCTAAATCAAAATTGAAACCAAACATTTGAGTATGGTCATGTACTAATGTGTAAAGTAGATACTGAAACAAGAATGGATGAAGAAGGGAAAAAGAACAAACCTTGTGCCAAGGATGTGCTTTAATCTGCGGAAACCTAAAGTCTGTGTAATGTGGATTCATACAACGGATCTCTTCTCGAGTTGGTGTACCAAGAACCTGTTTCCAACAAACTTACACAATGAGGGTTTGTAGCTAATGAATGTGATTATGCAAGATATCATTGTTAGGGAATCTTACTTTGATGATTTCAACGAGCTGATCCACAGCGTTTTCTCCAGGGAACAATGGCTGCATTCATAAGAAACGTGATATCATTACAATTGAGTCCTAAAGTGATACAAGTGAGATTAAAGAAGGTTGATTAGTGAGAATTTGGTATTACCTGACCAAGAAGAAGCTCAGCAAGAACACAACCAGCAGACCAGATATCGATAGAAGTTGTGTACTCCGTGGCACCGAATATGAGTTCAGGTGCACGGTAGAATCGTGAACATATGTAAGAAATGTTGGCTTCACCTTTAACCTGAAGCAAGAAGTGAATTCCATCAAGTAAATGACAAGATCATATGAAACAACAACGCTATGAGTTTTATATGTTCTAAAGTCTTACGAGCTGTTTCGCACTGCCAAAGTCACAGATCTTGACTTGATGAGTAAGAGGATCAACCTGTAGAAAGAGACAAGAAGAGTTACATTAACAAAAGAAAGAAACAAGAGAAGAACAAAAAAGACAAAGAGTTGAGTCTTGAATGTAACGCATACCAGAAGATTTTGAGGCTTTAGATCTCTGTGACAAACTCCAGCAACATTGTGAATGTAAGCAAGTCCTCGAAAGATCTGATATAACAAAAAGAAACTAACATCAGGAAAGTATCATTTTATTAACATCAATGTTTCTAAACAAAAAGATGTGAACATGTGTTGTTACCTGGTACATATACAGTTTAACGTAGACAAGCGGCATTCTCTGGTTTGCACTACTATAATGTTTCAGAACTCGATACAAGCTCTCAGGGACATACTCCATAACCAGATTGAGGAAAAGCTCGTCTTTGCTTGTGGTAGAAAAGAAGCAATGCTTCAAACAAACCACGTTCGGATGATCCATCACACGCATCAGCTGAAGTTCTCGGTTCTTGTATCTCCTGTCTTGCAATACCTTCTTTATCGCCACGGTTTCTCCGGTCTCCAAACACTTTGCCTGGAAGACTATTCCGAAGGAGCCTGTGCCGACAACTCGCTCCGCCATGTAACTAATTGTCTAACAAACGAATACGAAAAAAAGAAATCTTGTTTAGGATGAAAGCTTTGCATATACAGAGAGAAAAGTATCAAGTTGGTTTAAGCCTGAAAATTACCTGTTTTGGTTCTCCATTTTTTCCTCCGATTGTGGTGGAAATTATATGACCAGTGACTTGATCATGTCCATCTACTACAGCAGCTGGCATCTCCTGTAAGAGGAAAGCTTTCAAGGTCAGTAAAAACCATTATCAAAAGACAAAAGCATAATGCTTGTCTTAGAATCAAAAGACTAAAGAAGGAAACTTTATCCTAAAAGAATGGTTACAAAATAGCCGTTACGCGGGATGAATCTGGTTTTTAGTAGAAAAAATGTGTACTTTTGTCACGCGAGAAGAAAGGTACTAAAACAATACAAGCAACAACAAAAAAAAGCATATCAGGCAAAACAAGAATGAATCTATGCTCAATTCTGGATCTAGCAACTAGAGTACAAACTGTGGATTAATCACAGATCGAGATCGATAGCTATGGATCATCGTCCCAACAAAGCTAATAATTCACAAAACTCTGTACTGTACTGATCGATGAAACTGAAAAGTCTCCGAAAAAATGATAATTAATTTACACAACCCATTAGATACAAATCAGGTTTTTTCTCTTCAAGTAAAAGCTTAGCTCGTCCAAAGAACAAACCTTTTCGCAGAACCCAAAACTCTTATGGAGCTTTGTCTAGTGCTCAGAGATCTCAAGGTAACTCAAAAAAAAAGAAAAAGAAAATCGATAAATTCTTCAACTTCAAGAGTACTAGCTAGATATTTTTTAATCAGAACAAGAATCTCCGACCAAAGCCGTTTAGTCAGAGACAACTAAAAGGAAGGGTGAAATGTGGAAAACAAAAACAGAATCTTCCCTGAAAAAAAACAGAGAAAAGGAATCAAGTAGCTTACCTTATCGTCAGCCATGGCGTTAGAGACACAGAGAAGAGAAAGAAGAGAGAGAGAGAGAGAGAGAGAGAGAGAGAGAGAGAAAATAGATTGAGAGAGAACAAATGGGTTTCAATCAGTTTGGTTGGTAATGATCATGGTGGAGAGAGAAGCCGCAAGATGAGAAAAGGAGAGAGAAAGAACAAGACCATGTGAATCCAGCTCTCTTTTTATTTTTCTCTCTCTCTCTACTTTCCGTTTTCTTCGCCATCATCTTTAGTTTTTTTTTTTTTAATTAACTTTTGTTTGTTAAGCTGAAAGTACATAAACGCCCTCGAGTTTGCCCTCTAATTACGTAGACATGGACTCTTCTCTACGGAAATTTCGTGATCAAAGACACCAATGTTGTTGTCGGTCAAATTTGAATCCTTGATGAGCTCATCTACTGTAATCGTTGGTTAGGGTCTAAATTGGTATTTCAGGTATCTAATATTTTTAATTAGATGCTAGAATTGTCAATGTCTTCTCATTTTCATAATTTTGTAATAATATATATTTTCTGTATTTTGGATAGCACTTAATAAAGTAAGTGTAGTGAAGGAAAAAGAAAGTGGAAGTAACAAACACTCACTATTTACTTGTAAAATAATCCCTCCAAAAAATGATTAGGACTCCGTATGAAATAATAGAACAATTATGTAATTTTCACATCAAACTATATAATTATAACATGATTTTAAACTGTAATCGAAATTTTATGACCAGAAACAAAAATTCCAACATTCTGATTCCATAAATATAACTATATAGGAAATGTATCTATGTTTTACACTTTGTTTCAACAAATTCAATCAAAAATTCACAAAAAAAAACTCCAATTCTCACAAAAAAACATATACAGGTACAAATAGTTTTTTCTTTTATTTGACAACAGGTACAGATAGATTTAAGAGAAGTAAACAAAACATGTAAGGTATAAATAAAAAAGTAGCAGCATGATGAACTGGATATATTTGTCAAAGATCCAAGTTTGACCATTTGGTGGGAAAACTACTTTTTTGACATTGATGAAAGAAAAAAGCATTTATGTTTCTTTGGTCTTAGCTTTTTATTGTTTTTCTATTTTATTAACTAAATTTTAGACTTGAAATGTCTTTAATTATTACCTAGCTAATAGTGTAGCTTTACTTATTGTGTTTGTTTTTTTCTTTATATTTGTTTATTTATTTTTCGGGAAACATCAATATAAAAAAATCAATGATGATAATGATAGCAGTACTAGCATTTACAGAAGACAACAACAAAAATATTAATATAATTTTCTTT